TAGGGAAAGTGTCTCTTACACGGGTGGATTCGTATAAACTTTAGACTGCCACCGTTCAAATTTCTCTAATTAGTCGGCGAATTGAGTACAACGTAAAAGGGGGGAAAGCCGTTCGTCGGCGCGTGGCTTTTCAAAAGTTTCAAACGCTGCTTTTCATCGGCTTGCCTTCGAGCGGAGAGCTTTTTAAATTTTCGCATAGTACGTTTTTACATTTCACGAGCTATAATTATGCAGATGTATGCATAATATGTATAAGTATGTATGCGCGAGTTATCCTTCTTGTAACTGCTTGTGTAATGCGATCCTGTGCGGAATCTGTTCACCGAAGTTGGCGTAACACGAAAGCCGAGGTTGATCTCGGCAAAAGTTTCGACAAAGTTTTCACACCTAAAAAAAGGCACTGCGATCGACATTTGTTAATTATTGTCGTTGCACCAACTTCTCGATATGGAAGAACGATTTGTTTTGTGCGCAGCCATATGTCAGCGGAAAAGTTTTTTCCTCCTTCTCGCGAGAATAATGAAATGAGACTCCGAATGTTCGCGTCCTTATCCACCGGAAGTATATCCGACGTTTTAGCATCGTAATAAAACGTACTACGTATTAAATAAGCTGTCTCAGTTCACAGTTTATAATCATGGGTTGGTATTTAATTTTGTAATTTCGTGATTTACTTAGAGAATATTCTAGAATCTCTGGCTTTAAAATCAAGAGTGATAACGCGAAAGTGAAACACTGTTATTGAAGCAGCCACGGTGAAATGTAATGCCGCCGCAGGTGTTTAATTGTATCTTCATTTTGAGAAACTTTATCGCTGAAAGACGTAATTCGGTTACGCTAAGGTGAATATAAGAATAAATTTCATTATTCGTGCAAAAGCGACTTTTGCTCTATATTTCTAACAAATTCATGGCTACGATTAAAGTGATCAGATGATCGGAGTATCAAAGCAAACAATTTCGCAAATCATATAGACGCGCACATTTTTCATCCGCCACTTTCGCACTCGACTCCATGTGATGCCAGCTCGGCTTAACTCTTCGCTTTTCCACGCCTCGGTCGTCAAGCGTGACGGAACTCGACCATGTTAAATATGTAACTGCTCCCAAGCTCGTCCGCTTTCGAGTAAAAACGCGCGCGCGCGCGTCTGAGACAAACAGCGGCGTATAAATTTGTTTCTCTCATTGTTAGAAGCCAGAAAGTACGCGCGATAAAACGATCTAGTGAAACGTACACGTCGACATTGCCAAGCATCTTCCTATATTGCATCATCAAGCGATTGTCCAAGCACATCGAACCGTTGCATAATATTTTAAGCACGTTTACCATTTTTTTGAGCCATTAATTAATACTGGGATTAATTCCTACGGTTCCTGATCGCGAAACGTGAGGGTGCCAGCGTGGCTGAGCAAATTTTAACATTTCGAGACCAGTAACGTCTTTCTCGTACAATTAACACTTTCGCGATCGCTTTACATTAGCGGTCGCAAAGGCATTTTGATTGAAATCCATTCTCGTGACAAATCATCAGGGCGTCCAAAGGAACGCTACTCTCTTCACCCGTTCAGCTTTCGAATACCGTTAATACGCTCAATAGATCGCCGACAGCGGCTACGAGTATATCCCGGCCAGGCGAGGCACCTCCGAATAAGATACTACAGTACTTCGACACACGGCTGACGCGGGACTTTGTCGCCGACATAATGGTGACGGCGGCGGCAGTCCCGCGACTTCCGATCGACGTGTACGCGCTCCGTTGATGGGGCAGGCGAGGAGGTTCTCCCTAGAAAAGCAGAAAGGAAACCCGGGTGCGGCGAGCGTCCCCCTTGGCCCGTCGGGCCATCCCAAACTGTCAGACGGACGGGTCGCTGCCGGGGACGGAGCCCGTCTTGCTGCCGTCGGCGCCAACTCCGCCACCGTCGCCGTCAGCTCCCCCGCCCTCTCCGCCCCTGTACGGCGAGCCGCCGGCCCCGCGCGCCGACAGACCTCGGAAATCCAGGTTGTACTGAAAAGATGTAGGAAGAGACAAAGTGTTATTATACGTCGTGCACAATGCGAGCCCCGGCGGGGCCTCGCGGCTTTTCCGGATGGGTGAATTCATCGAGCGAAAGCTCGCCGAAAATATCTACCACGCGAGAAATGCAATGTATTTTCCGATTCGACTTTCCGACGAGCTTTTGATCGAAGGCTAATTTTACTTTCAAGTTATTGTCTTAGCATTCGGATTATTAGAGAGATATATATATATATTCTTGAGAGGATGCCACGTACTGTGGCATTGTTATGCTCTTGCCGTCATACATGGCGAGTTTGTTTGCGATCTAGTTATAAAAAGTATATATCGCATACTCTGACAAAGAAATGTTAGTATTTTTAATTTAATTAAAAATTTTAACGATAATATCTTTATAAAAAATTTTTGCTGTTAAACAAAAATATAAGAAACTTTCTTCTTTTTCCTTATTATCCTATATGAAGATAATTTATTTGTCAGAGTATCTGAAATTATTGGAAAGAAATATTAGATTTCATTACGAGATACATTGTAGCCATTCCTGTAAAGGTAGCTGAAATGGATTAATTAAAATCGATTATTATTACATGACCGTATTGTTGGATAGATAGTTTGTCATGGGGGTCGCGCTGTGTATTATTAGATCGAGATAAAAGTGATATAGCACGCGGGTTATATAGCAACAAAGGGAAAATTTCAAAAAAGCCACAAATAAAATCTATGTCAGCTATGATAAGACTTACGTAAAAAAAAAAAAATAATAAGCCGCGAAGCGGCAAACTAAAAGGCAACGGATCGTACCGCCATAATTTCGCTAAAATTATTTTTGAATAAGTATTGCGAATAGTTACAATTACTTAATATAGAATATAATAATATAATAAAGAATAATTTAACGATTTTGCATTTTGAAACTCGTCGAGAAAGAAACTTTTTTTTATCAACGATAATTATATATCATTATTGTCGAAATTACGACGATTCGATCTTCCGTGATGTTAATGAAATACAAAGCAAAACGAAAAATGAAACCAAGGTCGAACCTGTACGAAGAACGTATAGTGTTCTCGACGTATGCGTGCGTGCGTGCGTGCGCGTGAAACGTTTTCACGGACGAGTGTCACGTGTCACGTGCTACAGCACGACGTGATTATTGCTACTATCTCGGTAGCGTCGCGTGTCTTAAGTGCTGCAGCTGTGCGTGGTGCAGCTGCAGCTGCAGAAGCTGCAGATTCTGTAGGCAGTAGGGTGGCTGCTGCGTTCCGGGCGTCGTGAGCGTAGATAGGATAGATGGATGAACGAAGGAGCCGGAATTTCGGCACGATCCGGGATTTATGGACGGACCGAAAAGTGACAGGGACGATGGGTTTAGACCGTGGGACGGTTTCAGGATACTGTGAAATTGCGCGGACGTGAGCGGATGGGGTTGCACGTAAGGGCTTGTAGAAGGTAACAACTGCGGGCTAATCGGGTACAAACAATCCTCTTCGGCCTGGCCGGGTACCATCGTCGGGCTGAGCTCCATGTATTGCGGCATCACGAGATTGTGCTAGGCGGTGAATAGAGAACGGAAGGAGATAGATGTACACACACTCGATTTTTAGCGCGAACGCGGGGAATCTGCGACTTCGATTCTAAAAATTCTGCGCGAATATGTGCTCGAAAGTGAGCATATCTATCGCAATTTGGAAGACCGAATCTATAAAAATCTTCGATTCTGTAAAAATGGAGACGACATAATGTTTAATGTCAATGCGACAACAAACATTCTCACGTAACAAATATTCGCATAGAATCGATCGGGAGAGAATTTCATACAATCTTTTAAAAATATATATTCGTGTCGTATAAATAATTTTTAAACATAATTTTTTTTTCTCTCTTATTGTTAGATGATTTTCCGGAAGGCTAAAGCTACCTGTAAATATATATACATATGTATAGAATTTGCCGTATTCTTTGAAACGTTTTTAAGAAGCGCGATATTAAAGTATTTTGGATGAAAATATCTTGATCGTTCAAATTCTCTTGATACAGGCAACCTCAGTCATAAAGAAAATTATCGTATATCTTTGTCTATTTAAAAAACAAGTCAATCGAATATTTCCATGGCTTACCTTTGTGGCGCAGACGAAGCACGTTGTGACCACCTTCGAGATCACATTCATGAGATTTTTCGTTTCTTGTATAACATTGTCGACTTTTGTAAATGTGGCGGCTTTGCCGACGGTAGGATTCTTCACGGTGAATTGTAATTGCTGAACGTAAGTCGGCACTCGATCCAGATTTTCCAGGAGATCTTTCTTGTGCGGTCCACCTGGTACCTGCACCCATGTAACATTGTATACAATTTTATGTCTTCGTCCGTGTCGCAAGGCAAACTTGTTTGCATTCAATTTTCAACGATCCGAAAATATCAGTAATCAATAATATATATAAATAATTGGAATATAACATTTAATTACTTGTTATTTATTAAATATAAATTTTAAAATATGGAATATAATACGTTAATAATAAATTTTATAATAATAGTATATCGATCGAAAGGAATAAAAATATATATATACATATATACATATACATACATATATACATGGCAACGAGAATGATTTATATAAAGTGAAAGTGTGATATCTATTAGTCCAAAAAGGATCTAAAGTAAAGAGAGAAAAAGTTACCTGGATGGAGGCATTCAAGAGCGAGGGTATAAAAAAGGGTTGTATAATACAGAATATATTACAAGGTTAGCGTTTTGTTGTTTCTCTTAAGAAGAGTAATAGAAAGATCAAAATGGTTTCAGGTGACTATATATATTCGGCCTAGCTAGGAGGGGAAAGAAGGAAGGGTTTAAAAGTGGGTAGCAAACGTGTTAATTCGAACATATCTAATGCTAATTACGCGTGTCGAAGCTACTTCTGGTCTGGAAGCTACTGGTCTGCAGTAGCATATAAAGTAGTGACGCGAAAGAACACTGCTATATATAATTGACATTTTCCGTTTTTAACATTTCTTGAAATATTTTAATTTTCCGTTATTATTAGTTTCTGTTATTTATATCTGCCAAAAAAATTGCGAAATATGTATTATCGATATTGCTGTTGTGTTTCTCGAAGCTTTCAGAAATGAAGCTTTAATAACTAAAATCACGTAATATCGATATATCGATGTATGCCTACTTTTACATTGTAAAATAAGCGCTACATGAATACTTGCACATTTCTACATACGATGAGATTTCTATTATCGAATATTAAAGTAGCAATAATTATTAGTAGCATTTCCGAAATGAATATTTGGCGTAATAATGATGTTGATGACATTTAATATACATAATGACATTTAATTGAATAAATTTTCAATTGGCAGACTCGATGCAGCTTCGACGTTGCGACTTACGAAGAAACGAAACTCAATAGCGTAATGTATATTTAAAAGATTTTTAATATAGCGAGGATATTAAGAAACTCGGAATCAAGTCCAATATAGAGTCCGTATAATAAACAATAGTAAAAGAATGATTATAGAAGTAAAGATGATAGATCTTGATATATATCAACATCAGTCCAATTAGAAAAATGTGTGTCATCTCTCTTTCGATCTACAGTCGGCCGTGTTAGCCGATTGCCACATACCTGGTAACTGAATTGTCTCACAACCTTGTACAATCTGTTCGCCTCCTCGGCGAAATACTCAGCTTGGGTGAACAGATCCTGGGTGGTCTTCAGCGCGCCTTCGCCTCGCGTGAACTGATACATCGAGAATGCCATGGACGACATGTTCTTTGCCCGCTTCACAATGTCGTTGTTCTCCTCCAGAGCACTTCCGCTCTCTTGCCATTTTTCCGTCTCGGCGTCCATCTCCGAAGTGATCAGTTTCATCTCGAGACCCGCCTTGGCTATCTTCGCCTGCTCCTCGCTATCCAATCGCACTGGTTTCAATGGTTTGCTCGTCGTGCCATGTTTCTAAAATAAACCGTATCGATGATTATTCGTCATGCATGTGTCCGTGTATGTGTATTTTGTATGCGCGTATATATTTCTGGATTAAAAGGCACATAAAGATGGCATCTGCGTAAACGGATGCCACACGTCTGTTTTTGACACGCATTTGACTAGAGCTAAGCAATTCAAGTATGTTTTGTATGCATAAGAGATGTGTTGTGATTGTTTGTGCCGAGGTAATTGTTTACGTACCCCTGGCCGCGGCAAGGACATGTAAACTTGCTTCTCTGGCCGACTTTGACTGAGTTCCAGGACGTCTTTCGCTACTGTCGTCACGTCAGTCATGAGCCATTGCCACATGTCAGCAAATACTACGAAATGTAAACAAATAAAGATTAGTGACAGGTCATCGTTGCAAATTCAGTAGGATATTGAAGCATCTAAATAACTCACCTTCGAGATTTTCCTTGGCAATCTTACTTGTGGGATGCCTAGCTAGCGTATGCGCAGCCGTTACGACTTGAGGACCGTATATTCTCAAATTGATTTCCGTAAACTTTGCCGACACTTGCAACGATTCCGAGAGCGCAACGTGTCTCAGAAGCTTACATACCTGTAAAAAGAAAAATAATACATGGCTTCAATATAAAGAATTCTATTCATAGTACATTAATAAAGAAGTAATCACAATCGATTTTTCGCGTACGTTGTATTATGAAATATAATTTTAGAGCCACGAACATTTATCGTTAATGTCGGATATGATTAATGAACTACGCGAGCTAAATCACTTAAAGTTAGGCGTGGAATAAATCCAATCAGGTGTAATCGATTTAAAGAAATGATGAACGGCAATCACTGGCATCTAATAAATCAATATTTACGTTCCAGAATCCATTCGATGCAGTGTCGTACGCATTTGAGAAGAATTTGCAATAATAATCGGTAATATTTCTCGAAAAGAGATTCCATATTATTTTCGATTCGATGTCAGACTTAAAGCGCGCGTGAAAGAACGTCAAGTACACGTGGACGCCGCGTCTGGCGGAGCTTACTTCGAGAATGTGTTCGATGTACTCGTGGAACCTGTCGCTGCTCTCTTGCAGACGGTCGATGTCATTGGCCAACGCGAGATTTCTGATCGTTGACACGAGCTCCTGGCCGGCTTTTGTCACTTGGCCAAGATCACCGGCTTGTTCCATCGTCGTCGCGCTGAGCTGCTGGCGGAGATCTCTGGTCGCCCGCAGCACACCCATCACCGCTTGTTCCATCTCGGAGCTCGGTGAACCCCCGCCGCCCTCGTAATTCTGACGGAACACAATGTCTATCGTTTCATACCTTATATATCGTTTAATTCGTTAGGGAATATTTTTTACCCTCGAATTGCGCTACTCAAAATTTTCGATTACGTTTAACGAATAGGATTTATTATAAATTAATTTCCGAGACGCTTCCAATTTTATACAAGTCATATATAATTTTAAATATTATTTTATAACTTTTAAATCTATCGTGACACAAACCGGTGTTAAAAAAATTATGCTTTCCTTCCTATACCATTATGTTATTACATAGAATTATTCGGTAGTTTATTTTCTTGTGCGAAATATAAAATGAAAAAAATTGCGGCTCACCATGCTATTACCGATCCGTAGGAGTGTATTGAGCTCGAGTTTCGCACGATCGCAAAGTAAGAGAATATTTTCTCTGTGCTCGTGGCTCGTGTAGGCGCTGTCGGTGAAGTCCTGCGTTCTCTCCACCACTGTTTCTAACGCCGACGTAAGTGTCTCGCGGCAGCCCGGTCCCAATAGGGTCATCCTTGTTGTTTCAACGAGCCTCTCGAAGTGTTTCAATGCCGAGCAAACGGTACTGCTGTCCCAGTCTTCCTGCTGCGGACTCTGCAAGTAGTTGCGCGATCATAAAAGATATTTTGAGAGCTGTTGATTTTTTTTTGCAAAAAAATCTTTTTTTTCTTCGTTATTTAGATATTTAAAAAAGATTGTATAACAGAGGAAACAAACTTATAAATATGTAATGTTGAAAAATGCAAATGGCATACAAAATATTAGACAGACACGCGCGACGCGACAAATGGTATTAAATCTTTTAGAGAGATGTCACGTTACGGAGCGTTCCACTTTGGCCAGGTTGTCTACACAATCACTCCAGAATCGATTATGTCGCGCGGAAAGTGGGTAGTACTTAAGTGTAAAATACAAGGGTGACTACACATTTTTCTAGCACGGTTAAAGGTCGTTCATCGTGACCCAGCTCTACCGCGTTGTCTCTTCGGAGGAATTGAGAGAGATTTTCGGAAGCACATAGTATGTGTGTGAGATATATTGTAAAATATTTCCCCTCCTTTATTCGAGATGCTAAAAAAAGGTTGGCACGGAATTAAAGCACCGCATATCGAAGTGCCGATATGGAAATGCGAGCGCACAAAATTTGGCAAGATCCGCGGATAATACATTCGCGATCTCTTTATGACGACCGTTTCCGGCGCCGCGACCATTTCACCGTCGCGATAAAAACTTTCCATCGTTATAACGAATAACGGTCTCGGATGGAAACCGTTTTTATAAACTTTCGTTATGAAATTACGATACGTATTTGCAAGCAGCAATGCCACAATTTATTCGCGATTTCTTACATGTATCCGCTTTTTAACATAAATTTGATTCCAGGAAACTCGAACGATTTACGATTTACAATTATTTTTGCATAAAGTTATTTATCAGCGATATAATTAGATACTCGTATGTAACGACTTTGGCATAAAGCAGCCCATTTCAATTCTACGAGTGAAATTCGCAATTTTATTTATCGTCCGTTTCACTACTTTTTCTATCGCGTATTTCGCTTCCAATTTCTCGTTATATAGATTTTTTTTGCATTGTAGTCTAGTACTCTGCTAATCTTTTTTTGCTATCGTCCATTTAATCTGGACTCGTCGATTTTATTGTGCATATTTTTAATATACAGCAGCATCGATGAACAATATCAATGGAAAGAATATGTTAGAATGTATATATGAGCATGGAAAATGTTTAAAGTATATTATTATTAGCGATTGCGTTCACATTTTTTTATCAAAGTCGTAATGTGTTTTTGTTAATAATTAATTGTGTGTAGATATATAGCTATGATAATTGATATTCGTAAAGCATACTCCGCTGATTCTCCTCTACCATCTTCGACCGTCGCTTATCGATTTCATGCCAAACTAGATATCGCGCCATTATTTATGGTTTCTCGAGTCGTTGTGCTATAGCGGGATCGTTTCGATATCTCGTTTACAAGTTCTGCAAGGGTAGAGCTCGAACCAAGGTCGTTAAAACCGTACATCAAGGAGCTATCCGTAAATCACAATTTGGCGGACAAAGTCTCTTTGGAATACTTCCAAATGTTTTCGGAAACATTTTACACAGCCTTTTCTCTCCGATCCTTGCAATATGGTCATAATATGCGTGCTCGATGCAGCAGAATAATGAAGAATGTATAAAGTCAATATAGCGTTTGGCAACCGCGATTATTACAGCATTTCTTGGCAAGCTCTAATACATGTTCGTGTCTGTAATTATTTTCTCGTTATTAACGGTATCAATATTGAAATTGCTTGCTATCTTGCATTGTTTCATAAATTAATATTGCAAATACAATTTGCAATTGATAAATAATATCTCCTAACTCTTTGCAACTTGATTATTCTGCTATTAAATTTTATGAAATTAATTTTCATGCTATATATTTTAGAAAGATATTTTCATCGTTCAAGTGAGAGTTTATGTGTTCGAGATAAAAACGGCTTACCTGTGAATTCGAGTAGGATTGAGATTCACTGCAGTCCAATACCCCGTCCTTGACGACATAATGTATCAGATCCATCGCTCTTCTCATTTGGCAAAAAACGGTGTCTCTGTTCTCCTTCGCGGACGGGCATTCGGGATGCCTTAAGCACGTCTTGCTGGACGTGAGGAGCATCATGGTGCTCCTTTCTAGCACTTGTCGAGCCGCTGCCATCTGCGCGCGTCGCCTCTCGTCTTTGAGATCATTCTGAGAAAATGAGATGCGACGTTTAATTGAATCTCGATCCCCGTATTACAAAATAATATTAATTAATTGCACGCGACAGAAAATCATAATTAAAATGAACGATTCCGTGAAATATAGATTTGAACGAGAGAGAAATTCTCACCTGACGATCGCCCGTTAAATGCGCCAACTCGACCATCTCTCCTCCGAATTGGCTGAACGCCTTGACGAATTCGGTGAAATTCGAAACGCTCTCGAGACGTCCGAGACTGCGGGCGACTTTATCCTTGGCGTGGAGCAATTGATTGACCACGACGATGTCCGCCAGGAGGAGGACTTTCGTCACTGAGCCTAGGAGACATCTGGCAGCTCTCACGACGGAACCTCGGTCTGCCAGACTGTCCTCCAAGGCACATTCGCATAATTTCTCGATTGCCGAACCTAAGCGTAACATAATCGATTGCATTTTCGAATTTCATATATACATCTGCAGAAATTAAAGCTTAAGCGTAAAGTTTCGTCCGCTAATTCTCACGGCGAGAACTTTTCTCGCGAAAGAGAGATCGGACGAATTTCGTCCGAACGTGATGGACGGGGAGTACTGATGAATTAAACATTTCGCTTTTTTTATCGCGTGTCACCGTAAAATCGGGGTAACTGATTTAATTATGATCGAGCCCCTCGACTCAAGTACGACGACTACGGGTAATTGGATGCTCTTGTGTGCTCATAATTAGCTACTTTACTCGTTCGCCTTATCTAAACAACGTTTGCACCGAATTAGATTTATCGTTAAAAGATTATGCGCGTAAGCAAGTTTGAATGGCAAAAGTGGAATTACCATGTATATTTTTGAACTTATCGGAATAGTACATTTTAAAAATATGTAATTTTTGTATTTAAAATCTATTAATTACATATAATATATTTTTTAATTTAATACTTTTTAAATAATCGTATAATGTTTAGTCATAAAAGAAAAGAAAGTTTGTAGAGAGAAAGATATTGATAAAAATATTTTATTAATTAGTATTTCATTTGTTGATAATAAAAATCATTTGGTGTCTTTTCGGAGGAACAATATCGTGTAAAAATCATCGCAAAAATTGTCATTACAGAGTATCTCTTTTTCCAAGACGCACTTACACGGACATAACATTTTCTAATAATATCATCATCGATCGAAAATCACTTGGAGCATGAGATGCGAGGATTGCTGTACCATTAAATAGTTATTTCCTGAATTAGAGAGCTACAGTTAGTTCAAAACACGATATCACCGCCGGCTGTTAGTATGTACTAATTGTTCATCGCCATTAAACAATATCCTAAACGTAAATTGCTATGGGGAGAATCGAGAACAATAGATTATTATGAATATAACATCTGCGCCTTTACGTCACGGGGATTATGGGAAATTATTGAGTCGATGTTTATCGAGATAGATGAAATTCATCTTTGTCTAGAAAAATTCTCAATTAAATTTTCCATCGTTCGTATATTGCAGGCTTCCGTTTAATACTATATTCCTAAATTTTATTTTTCTCAGGTTTAGTTTCTTCATCGCCTCGATGTTTATATAAACTTTTCTCATAAACCGTTGCAAATTATACCTCTTGGCGGTGTTTGTTTTTTGTTTTAGTTGATGGATACTTTTCTTATTAGTCAACGAGAAAAGCACTTTATTCTATGTATTACGTTCTAATAAATTGCATGTTGCAAGTTTCAAAATTATCGTATATATCGTGCTGTATACAAATCGCCCTCTATTCTTCTATCTGCTAGTGTTGTAAGATCAGCCAGTTTGATACGGAAGTCTTATAACGTTTTATATAGATTAACTGTTACGTATAAGAGTGTGCAAAGATCTTGACCTAATTTAAAAGTAGTCAAAATGCACAGATCCTACATGTTCGTTTCTCATCCGGATGATCGATTGATTTTCGGCATATTTTTATAGCATATATTCCATATTTATACAGAAATTTTATAAAAAGAGGTTTAAAGTTATAATTACTGTATTGCTATAATATTCAATAATTTCGTTTTATAAAACGCGAAAGAAAATGTAATAAACAACGGACAATGTGAAATTAGTATGTCGCTAAAAGGATCTCTACTTGTTATCGGTTTTCGGTGAGATATTCTCGAGCGCAACGTATTTTGAACATATCGCACCACACGTCACTTATCCTGATATTGGTATCCCGATGCATCCGGTGGATTGCAATTGGAGAGATTGCTCGAACGCGACAAGCGTAGAAGCGTGTCCCGTGAGTACACTTTTTATGATTCATAGAAACAAGATGCATCGAGCCGGGACATCAGACGAGAGATTGACATTCGTGTTTTTATTTCTTGCTCTTCGTGAGTGAAAAGAACCACTTTTCACCGCGCATATTATTCATCGACATCCATGTCGAAATGCTATCTGCGCTGTATCTGTCTGATTTATCAGATAGATACGAGAAAGGGCAGTGAAATATACGAGGAAACCAAATCACCGTTATGATATACGTTAGCGAATTTTGAGCAAACTATAAATTTCTCACAAAGATACATATCGATCGCTCAATCGCTACCTTTGTAACTTTCTGCCGGCACGCGACGAAAGAACAATTATGCGTTGCATTGCTCGCGTGATTAGGAGATCTGCCCGCGTCATAAACGAACCATTTCCTTGTGATAACAGTGCAATCATCATCACAGTAATCATATCAACACTACGATTTTGTTTGCTGCTGTTCACAAAATTATGGACTTTACCTGTGTACTGCGAAAACATGATGCATATATTTCTATTCATCATTTCGAATTTCCTTGTGATTCTTCCTTATTGTAGTAATCCTATAGTAATTAACCGAATGAGAGATACAAAAAAGAAAAAAAGTAGGTCTACCGCAAGTCAGCTTTTCAACATGTGTTGAAATTGATTTCCCGTTTTAAAAAAACCAGCGAAAAATTTTTATGAATATATACGTACATGAATATATATCGAGTTGATATAAATATTTTTTGAATTTTTAAGTGTGTACACTTCATATTTATTTGTACAAAATATGCAATGTACATTGGTAATTTATGGCACCGATTTAATTGACGTCAAGCTACCGATGCATAAAGTATTTTTACGTTACTCTAACTCTATCGTTGCTCTCTCTCTTCGTAATGTAGATCTGCGGATGTGCTCGCGGTGCGAATGGTTTTGCATTCATCAGTGAGCGGTATCAAATTGCTATAATAAACAGAGCGGAACGACGTTTTATCATGATAACCGTGATAACCGCGGGCTTATAGTTCAATGTGACTAATGACTTTCCAAGTTTACTCGTTAGCGAAACCTTTATCCGCGTTTACCATCAGTCCACGGTAAATCGACTGGATATTTACGTTCCTTCGTTAATCGCATCTTGATATAACATAAACGATTTTCGTTTGTACTTTTTTACGCTTTTTTACGCTTTTTTGCGTAATACAATTTATTATTTCTTTCGGCAGTTTTTACGATGGTTCCGTCTGAACGCGCCTTTTTACCGTTCAGGTTACCAAAGAAGGTCGAGCGAATTTATGCCGCGTTTTTCCCAAGCGACACATAATATAAAATCGCTCTCTTGCGTCCCGATGTGCTGGAAACATTTTTATCGTTTAGCTGGTTCCGGCATTAAATGGATTTATATCAACGTAGCATCGACTTATTTGCAATCGCACGAATATTAAATACACGAAGAATATCGCCGATGCTTAATTTCGAAAGCACGAACTATCGTGGTTGTTTACACGATCGATCGGTCGAGAATATTAATCTGTTCGGTCACGCGACGTAACGAATTAACCGCGATATGCAAATAGTTAACCGAATTTTACATCAATCACATTGAATATGTTCGCATTAATTTCGTTATATATCGGCCTTTTATTAACATTATTTCATATTAAAACACGAATTTCAGTTTTATTGATCACACGGGAGTAAAATTAATAAATATCTGCATCGGTCATAAATCTCTATACGTGTGCGCTTGTCCACACGTCGGCCGTTAATAAATGTTTCGTACGTTGACTTGACCCGATCTTAAAAGGCAGTCGGGATAAAAATAGCTCGGGATGATGTGTTTACGCGAGAGGACTACACACAGAGAGTGACTATACGAAAGTGGTTACCGTCTGACACTGATCGATGCAGTTGCGAGCCAACTACAAATTGAAACTACAAATTTCGCGGCGTGTCTCGATATTAGTCGGTATTTTCCCGTTTCATCGAAAACGCTCGCCGATTCCCCCCCTCCCCCCCGCTCCTCCCCCTCCTTCGATCACGCCGTCGCGTTCGATACTTCGATTCTCGAACAATTTATTTTCGCCCCGCGTCACGATATTTCCAGCTTCTATATTTGCATGTAACCGTTTTATTACCAATTATCCCGAATTTGAACTTCGATTCTCCGCATCTCCGTTTCTCGTTTGATACCGTATCGCGTTTGATTATCGGCCATTTCCAACACGACGACGTAGGACAGAGGCTGCTATCGCCGTTAATAAGGAGCTCGATATATTTTCGGCTCGACATTAAGCGTTATAGATTAATTAACGCGCTAAAAGGCGCGGGCGTATAATTCTTCTAGTAATTATCACCCGACTTGAAACAAGCGGCGGATATTAATTACACGGTGTATGCATATCCATCATCATGCTCGAGTGCGTCGAGCTAGCAGTGACTCCAAGTTCACTTTGTATTCGCAATTAGATGGGCAAAGACTGTTCCTTTGCGTTACTTTATCCTTGCTGCGTGTTGTCTCTTCTTCTCTCTGCTCCGGCGTATAAATTTGGCATGTCGCCACTTATCTTTTACAACGCTCGTATTCCGTTATAGTGACTTAGCTCTTGTGTTTCTTCCCCATCGTCGCCGTTTTGGTGCGCGAGTTTAAGTTCCCCGAAGCATCGAAAATAGCGTTATCTTGGGAAAGAGAGCATAAATCATACAAGTATTTGCATACAAGTAGTCGCGCTTCTTCCAAATCTCGATCTCGAGATTTGCGTTACCGCGAATGTAACGTATACGCGATCTCTAACACATATAATTGTTGCATAAAAATTCTTTTCCTACGGCTTTTGATTTTTCATTTTGAAAAAGAACGATTTTCGCGATAATAGCATAGCCCAACCTAAAAACCTGGGGCACGTCGATCGATGAGAACTATACGCGAGAATCCATTTGTATAAATTCGTCGCGTGCTGTGTCATACTGAATCCTGCCGGCACGATATAGCACTCGCAGCTCTCGGTTACACTTATGGTGCCCGATTTACACGCGATATCACGCGAAACGATTTGTTCAAGTCAGGTAGGCTTGCATGACTTTGCGCGATCGCCACGGTAATATCGGTGCCCTTTCGACGTCATTTTATTACTCCGAATTGATACGTCTCTCGTATATGCTCCAACAAGTAATTCAATGTGATTTAGTAATCGAATTTTCGTCTTATCATCGAGGGAATCGATCTTTTAAATTCGCGGAACACGTTCCTTTCTGATTGTACAGACGTCTGTTTGACCTCGGTTATTGTGACGAAAGCTCTCTCGGTTTATCATTTATTTATCACCGCTTTCCCTTTAAGCGCAAAATCGATGACAACGAGCAGAATAACTTGCATTCTTGCATCGGATTTGCAGAAGCTGCAAACGAATTTCCATTTCTACCCGTGTCACGCACGTTGGTCGTTTTTTCGTCTTCAAATTACAGTTTCAGTTGCACTCTTAATCGAATCGGGCATCGTTTCAAAAACTTTCTACGAGATCTTCAATTTTGCGGCGCGGAATATTTTGCGAGAAGACCACCGAGACCACCGCGTTTCTTTCCCCTATGGTACAATTCTTCTCTCCGAAGAGCGAACAGGTGTGCCGGAAAGAAATATCCACGATCCTTACTTCGGCCGTTACCTGTCCGCTATTTGGCGAAGATACGACCGAGGCTCTTTTATGTATGTAGGTGACGAAAAACCTTTTTCAAGGTTTAGCGAAACTGGGTCATCGCGCACGCTTCTTGCACATTGTAGCAGCCGCAGGATACGCCGTTCTGCAATGTGCAGCCTAGCATGAAGAGACACGGGAAGATATAATCTGCCGAGCCGCTAGACGATAAGACTAGACGGAGTGTGACGAGTTTCAAAGGTCACGAGTCTTATCCTCGCAGAGCTTTCTTCCGGCTCGCGTGCGATTGTCTGCACAAGGCTGCAGACTATGATGGGTACAATTTCTTCTTCTTCTGATTTCTTTCTTTTGATTATTTGAGACGTTGATGTTTGAATGCTTTTAATTAAGATTTTTCTCTTACGCGACGTAATTCAGGAAGATGTACGCTTTTACGACTATATATGATATACTAAAATGCTTGATAGTCGCGTGAAATATTTTATTGCTCGCGTCTTTCTCTTTTCCTCTTGAAAAGCGAACATAAGATAGCTAAGATACGTGCTAAAGAAGTACCATCGGTCGTTTTGTGCGGAACGAGAATCGTAAAACCGTATTCGAGGACGACGCATGATGTGTTATTTTATTTCGAATTTACGCGAATCAAATTTTCGTGACCTATTTGACGGAATATTCGAAGGTCTTGAATTTACGACTCAAAAGTAATGTCAAGTTTAAAAATGGAAGAGAGAATCATATATTTTCGATTTATTATTTCCCTCAATTCGTACGACGAGATATTCTTGCTAACGAGATAACGTGCAAAATGATACAATTTCATATTCACGAATCTCTTGTCCGATTGCGAGAATTTATCTACGGTATAATTTTTTTTAAATATCGATGAGAAAGAAATATCCGATTGTTTCAGATTCGCGGGACAAAAAATGTCGAGCATGCTGTAAATATAATGAAATTTGTTCTCAAGAAATATATTCTTGGAAGAATACAGAGTTTTCAATAAAACTCACATAACTAATATCTATAAAAAAATTTAGATTAAAGTATTAAGATATTTTGCATTATATTATTGCGACGAGAGAATGTATAGCCAGGAGATAGAAATTTTAATGCATTATTGCTTTCTTTTTTTACATTACTTGTATCTGCTTTTGCAGGTAAAAGTGGGGTTTAAAAATTAGCATTTAAAATTTAGTAAGCGTTACTCTCTTGAATAATACCTTGAATAAGATTATTACAGACTACATAGCTATACCGAAATGAATTTTCTCTTCTTCATAATCTCGGGGAAAGTAGAATTTCACATTAATTTGCAAAATTCTTTCATTTATTTCCTCATTAGGCAATACACCATATGGTTTCTCATAATCCCAAATTATATAATGCACGATGTTGGCATGTGTGGCGTGAAATATGCTAAGTTTTAATATGAGTTACTCTGTAATTGGATACGTTTGCATTGTCATAACTTTTGATTAATGTACTATCGTGCTATTCGCGAGAGCATTTGCATTGAATTTGCATTTATGTTATCCCGCATAATTTTCACGTTTTGTGTTCTATGAAACTCCCATGTGACAGTCGTTTTTCTTTAAATTGCGAGCAAATCGTAAAAATAATATATTTAAAATTATTACAATATATATATATATATATATCTTCTTACGAAAATGGAAGTCTTCTGATAACGTATAAAAGTAAGTAATCTCTGAATGATATTACGTATATTACTACAAATAAGGATTTAACGAAAATGATGACTATCGTAAATTTTTAAATTTTAAACGAGAATACAATGCATTTCCCGATTTTATTCTAGAATATATGCAGCCGCTTCCGTTTTTTTATTTGTACAATTATTTGCATTACTCCATCATTTTTTCGCGCGCAATAATTATACGTTATTTATGCACTTACCGGCAACCCTCGCCTCCTTGCAAGCCTCGTACATATCCTGCTTGATTTCCGGGTTGTCGTCCGCGATAGTTTCGCCGACGGTCACGAATCTCTCGACCGCCAAATTTACCGCCTGGCCGACCCTGGCGACCGCTCGCAAACTCCGGTCCGAGCATAGCGGCCGTTCTCTATGCGAGATTAATGTGGAAATCTGTAAACATATTGCATTTTGATGAGCGCGCAAGAAGCGCATTTCTCAAAAAATAAACTATATCTAAAAATATTCAAAAAATGATGATTAAACACAATGATAAAAACGAGTAAAGTAACGGTTAAAAAGTCGTGCGTTATACATCGCAGCCATCTAATCGATATCCTTCTAAGACAAATAGACGTTTCGACGTTGCCTCGCGTTTAAACGTTCGAGTGTTTGCAAACTGTTTGCGTTCACAGTGGCTGGTGTTCATTAATTAATGTCGCATCTCTAGGAGCTCCGATTTAAAAAAAAAAAAACCAACAAATCCATCCGGTAGCGCGTATTTCACATTTATTTTACTCGTATGCGTCGCTATAAATCGCGGCGACACGTGGCATTACGCATAGAATTGTAGAATCGGGGTAGCTTCTGTAGCTACTGATACGTCAGAGGACTTGACGCGTCTTCTGAGCGTTCACGAAGTTAGCGTAGTTAGTTGCACTGCATTTTCCGGACAATCGGACGACGCACGTTCGTGTGCCGTTCCTCTTTCATAGATGCGGGCCTCGGTCGAAGGAGAGAAAAAGGAGCAATATGGACCGATGTGGAGAATAAACGGCCGGGCTATTGTCTCGTCGAGAGACGAATATATGCATGCACATATACTGCTGCCGGCCCGCACGCACGTACACGACTCCATTCATCTCGATTCGATCGTCTTATGCAAATGAGAGCGGCATCTGTGAGGGTACGGTTTCGTTGCGTGTTGATTGTGTGCGTGCGTACGTGCGTTCGCGAGAACATACACGGCTGCGCGCTCTGGATAAAGCTATATTTTACGCGGTATTATCATACGTTTATGTAATTCTAGGCGAAACTCGGCTGCAATAATATCGATTTGGGACTAAATAACCACTATATATAGTGATTATACGAGACGTTTTAGTGATCGGTGTAAGCGAAAGAAGGAAACGTCAATCACATCGATAAATTGCACGATTATCTAAAGCTCAATTAAGTATTTTGGCTCACATCGATCGTCCAGTATTAATGCTTTCTGTCTTTTCCCGAAAGAATTAATAACGCAATGCGTTATATAGCGTTCCACTCGGAAGAGAGATGGTGCAATACAGGGAGAGTGTGTTTTATTCAGCCACTGTGATATTATTTATCCGGATCCTGTGAATTTCCTTTCCCAGCGGACGTTTGAACGTTTTTATTTCCCGGCCCGAACAAATTGTTCAATTTACACGAGCGTGAGATAAAATATCTCAAAGCATTGCTTTTTTTTGACAAATAATCCATACATCTCATGGCATTGGTACGTTATGCACTTTACAATAATTGTTTGCGATTTGTTATTATTTATAAAATGTTTGAAAACATGAAATGCGGAGAATGTCGAAATGTCACAGCAACAGCAGGCGCATATATCACTGTAATTAAATCATTTAAATATTTCATGTCTCTGGAAATATAAATTCCATGAATTACGCGTGTTTATTCAGATATCAGAATCATTTGTAACCAAAATAAAAATTATAGATGGAGAAGAAATAATTGTAAAGCATCTCTCGCCTCTACCGCGTTATATTTTTATGTGTTATATTATATTTTTAATGACAGATTCTCTAATATTTATTGTTTGCAACACACTAGTAACGAGGCTCGCAGAAAGTGCATATCTTGCGAAAAGTACAGTATATTAATTTTGTATAATTTCCGCCTGCCGAAACTCCATTTTTCGCAATGAAATTCCAATGGTTTTCCTGCGAGCGGTGCGCGAATAACCGGCGAATAATTGAAATAGCGATTCGTTCTCGCAAAAAGAATCGATTGCTTTGCATGAGAAGTCTCGAAGGAAGTCTATGAATTTATGTATTCGTCGACACGATAGTATTTCATTCCTAGTCGAATTATTATGCTTAAACTGATCGTATTTTTTTTTTTTTTCATATCTCAATGCTGCATCGGAATTAATGATAATTCGGACGAAATTTGCGGCGGCGATATCGATTCGAGTATTATCGACGATACCGTTAATCGCTTTTATGCGCGAGATTCATCTCCTGGCTTATTCGCGGAATTTTCGATATTCATCGGTGAATATTTAGTTCGCGAGATATGTCATTAATCAATTCTGGTGTCGCATCGAGGCATTTTTCGACGTATCTCTTCCTTTATTGTAACGAGAACTTGAGACACTGTGACTTACGTTCCGTGACGCGGAGGCGGTTCGTGAAATTTATCGTTCTAATACGCGACAACCATACGTGACATTATGACATACGAGAATAACTTATCCCGCAATTGCAGTCGTGACATGTTACAAAGAAACGATATTTATGTCTTAACCGAAATGTTTATTAACACTGTCGGTTATGAAAAATAATATTTTTAATTGAAATTATATATATTTTCAAGTTTTATATATATTTATCAGTTATATATACTTAATTATATTAATCAATATTATCTCTCTTTAATTCGAAACGTTTAAAAATTTACTTATAGTTCTATCTCTGCGGTCGTTCATCGACATTGATATCTGAAAACCTTACTACCCATGTTTTACTCTTTATCAACATAGTATCTATTGAATACAAAAATAAAGGAAAGACTTTTAAATTCTCTTTATACGGATTTTTTTCTTTTCTCGAAAGAAATTCGATTCCTGCCGTCACGACTATTCAATAAATACGTTTGAGTAATTCCACATGTTCATTAACGTTGCAACGTGACACGTAATCGGAATTGTGTAATTATTCATAAATAGCTGGTGTATTATGCTCGGCGGCGCGTATTTCTAATTTAAATGATCGTTAAATGTACATTTACAACAATAATATCGTCAGAGAAGATGATAATTGAATAATTTATATTCTTGAATTTTTTTCTTGGTCCTGAAAATCTCATCTCTTTTCGAAAAGTGAATTTTCTTTGCGATTTTTTTACAAGCATACAAAAATAAACTATTGAGATACATACGTATTTATGTGGACGTGTTAATATTTCAAAGAAAGTCTTGACACATTTTGTAATTTTACTTAATGCCCCTTAATATTACCAAAGTGGATGTATGATCGATCTTTATTCTGTTTCATCTTTCATTTGTGCCGAAAAGTAGGTACCAAAAACAAGCTTTACGTATGCGAAACGCGGTAACGAAAGAGCGATGGGCTGCCTCCTGCTGTTACTTGAAGTATCGCTTCGTTTAACATTGAGAAATCGGCGCCCTTGTATAAGTCACCGAGAAATTCTTTAAACATTCAAACAAGGGAGCGTTAATGAACGAAATTTTTCGAGGTCGTACTATATTTAAGAATTAATGCTTTGTCTTCTGCTCTCTTATTTTAAATCGATCCATTTGAATTTAATTTATTTTTAAATAATAAGAGGAAACACAAAAGGTCTGACACGTTACCCGCAAATTTTTTCTTTTCCTTCGCGCAGAAAAATATTTGATAAGAGCCGTAAAGAGCATCCGATTTAAGCGCAAACGCGCCGTACACCAGAAGAAAAGAAAAGCTTCTCATGGATAAATTTAATTAAAGCATTCAAAGAGAGCAGGGAATCAGCGAATAAAATCCGACGGGTAAACTTGACCAATTTTAAGATTTGAGCATAATTTTATGAATTCTCTCTCTTTAATTTTCCTTTGCAAAGTTTCTTGCAAAGAAAAGAAAGCTTAGCCGATCGTGCTAATCGATTTAAATCTCTTGTTACGGCTGCTCGAGTCGAAGCTTTATTTGTATTTCGTCTTAATCCTTTTTTTCTTACGCTTTTTGATTATTTTTTTCTCCTTTCTTGAGAAAAGAGAATACTATATACGCGCGATTACGAATTTGTAGCGTAGCTGCCAAGTTTCTTCTCATCTTTATAAAATATGTAGGAGCTTTCATTCTGTCTACGGCTGTCTGTTTTCGGGCTTTTTCATTTCACTATTTTCTTTCTGGTTTATCGTCTTAGGCAAGATTTTTTCGCTTCTTATTTTTTCTATGACAATCTAGATTTTTTGCGAAACTTAATAGCATTACAACGCAATTTTTTAAAAATCACTTATTGTCTTGTCTTTTGTAAACGAACATGCATTTATTTATGAATACGCTGTGTTTTGACTTTAAATCAGATATTTCGTAAAACGTTCAATTTACCGAAATTGACAGCAAATAGCGACGTGATTGCGCTGACGTTGCACCATTTGAATGGTACAAATTTTTCAAAGGGGAAACGTGCCAGTTTTTCCTTTCCAAGTCACTGCACAAGCGTTACTTCGTTAGGAATTTCGAGGGTGCCGATCTTGCTGGCGACAACGGTACATAGGCAAGACATATTTTCTTTTCACAAATCTCGAATCGGACAAGCGCGAAACGAAGTGACAGCGAAAGGCGCTTTTTGATCAGCCGCGATTAGTTTAATCCAATTTCCCGTTACGACAGAAAAGGGAGATTACGTCAATGGAATGGAGGAAGCACGGGGTGATCGAAGGGTATAAATGAAAATTTACCTCTCGACCTACGAATGAAAAGATTGAAGGGCAGGAAATAAATAGAAAAGGGAGATTACGTCAATGGAATGGAGGAAGCACGGGGTGATCGAAGGGTATAAATGAAAATTTACCTCTCGACCCCTACGAATGAAAAGATTGAAGGGCAGGAAATAAACGTCGTAGGATACACGAGAGATTAGCTTAGACCGAGACTCCGACGTTGAAATTTCAGAGTCCGCTAAACGAGAAATGGAGAACGGGCCTCGGTCGAAGGAGAGAAAAAGGAGCAATATGGACCGATGTGGAGAATAAACGGCCGGGCTATTGTCTCGTCGAGAGACGAATATATGCATGCACATATACTGCTGCCGGCCCGCACGCACGTACACGACTCCATTCATCTCGATTCGATCGTCTTATGCAAATGAGAGCGGCATCTGTGAGGGTACGGTTTCGTTGCGTGTTGATTGTGTGCGTGCGTACGTGCGTTCGCGAGAACATACACGGCTGCGCGCTCTGGATAAAG